GGGACTGGTAGGTGTGAGGCGAGACAAGTTCCCTGCCCCCCAGAGGAGGAGTTGAATGCAATGCTGATGTTTTAAGTCTGATGTGCACTCCATATATTTATATTAGAAGAATTCTTCCATTGGTTTTAAGACTCTTGTTATAGTCTGTGTTCAGGAGGAATCTGTAAGTTGTCATCAGGAGAACCAACCAACCAACCAGAAGCTATTAGGTATCACTCCAGTTCTTCCTTAATAAGACTTAAGTTTTAGGGCCCCTTTTATGATTCCTGTGATCTAAGGTTTATCTGTTTGCATTACAAATCTTGTTTATTTTCTTTCCCAGAAATCATCAGTGAATTTCATTTGCTTGATCCTACTGTTAACCTGTTTTTATTGTCATCAGATTTTTTTTTAAGAGTTAAGATCTCAGGCAACCCCCTTGGGTCCCCTCCCACTGTGGGAGCTTTTCTGTCTTCTCAATAAATCCTGCTTTCTAAAAAAAAAAAAAAAAACAAGAAAAAAGAGTTGAGGTCTCAGTTTTTCACCCAGGCTGGAGTATATATAGTGCTGTAATCATGGTTCACTGAAGCCTCGAACTCCTGGTCTCAAGCGATTCTCCTGCTTCAGCCTCCAGAGTAACTAGGACTATAGATCTACACCACCACACCCAGCTAATTTTATTTTGTTGAGTCAGGGTCTCACTATGTTGCCCTTGGCTTGTCTTATACTCTTGGCCTCAAGTGATCTTCCCATCTTGACCTCTCAAAGTGCTGGGATTACAGGCGTGAGCTACTGTGCCTGACCTGTTATCAGTTATATAATCTGTTGGGTTAGCCTGTTGGTGTTGCAGAATCTTTGTTGAGAATAACTCTGTGGCCCACTTCTTGACTTTGAGTATCTAGTTATGCTTTCTTTGTAGCTTCCCTAAAAAGATTATTAAAATAATGATATTCCTTGTTCTGTAGACACACACACACAAATGTCATGTATATTGCGTATGTGACAAATGTTTTTAGACTTATAATTTACAGTTTTTAAGAATTTTCATGCTATTCATATACTAGTCTACATTGAGACTAGGAGTGCAATGTATGCATATGGTCTCAAAATAGACTATATTGAAATATTTACAGAAAAATTACTTCAGTTTATGGTAGTGAGTTGATAACTCAACTCTAGGAACTTTGGTTAACAATATATATAATCCATTCGCTACATGATAGGTAAGAGCCTGGCTCTGAAGTCAAGCTGTCAGGTATTGGAATTTTACCTTCTGTGACCTTGGACAGGTTACTAGCCAACTCTGTGCTTGAGTACTCTTATCTGTAAATTGGGAATATTAACAGTACCTCCCTCATGGGTTCTAAGAATTCACTCAGATAATGTATGTAAAGTATGTAATAGCATGCCCAAAACAGGGTATGCTTAATAAATGTTAGCTGCATTTTTTCTTTTTTTGAGTCAGTTTAACTGTCACCTGGATTGGAGTGCAGTGGCACAATCACAGCTCCCGCATCCTCAATCTGCTGGGCTCAGGCAGTCCTTCTGCCTCAGTCATCCAAGTAACTAGGACTCCAGGTGTGCTGCACCATGCCTGGCTAATTTTTAAACTTATTATAGAGACAAGGTCTCTCCATGCTGCCCAAGCTGGTCTCAAACTCCTGGGTTTAGGCAGTCCTCTTGCCTTGGCCTCTCAAAGTGCGAGATTGCAGGTGTGAGCCGCCACACCCAGTCCTATTTTTTAATTTAATTTAATTTATTATTGTTTATTTATTTATTAAAGACAGTGTCTCACACTGTCAACCAGGCTGGAGGGCAATGGCTTGATCATAGCAGCCACAAACTCCTGGGATCAAGCGGTTCTCCTGTGTTAGCCTCCAAGAAGTTGGGACTATAGGTGTACACCACCAAAACTGACCACTTAATTTTTTTATTAATAGGAGATCATTTCCAAGAGTGAGATAAGAGTGCTTGAACTATTGGTTAAATGAAAAAAAAAATTATTCTTAGTAAAGGAACTTTAGTTATGAGATAGAAAAGTATCTTCTAACTCAGTGTGTTTAGGAAATTCCCTAAATTAATTGAATTTTGGGGGGGGAAATAAATCCATAAGTTTCATTAAGGTAGGAACTTTATGTCTATTTTGTCTAATTCCTTGTTCCTTATCTCTAGAATAGCACCTGACTTACAGTAAGTATTCAGTAACTATTTGTTAAATGAATAAAAAGAGGCCAATGACTTTTAAAGGCTACAGTTTATTGTATAGACCCAAGTATGTAAGTTATTCCAGTATGTAAAATGATGTTTTAACAATGGTATGGGAAAAAGTTTTATCTAAAGTACAAGAAAAATTAGTCAGGTGTTGTGGCACATGCCTGTAGACCCAGCTACCTGAGAGACTGAGAAGGGAGGATTGTTTGAGCCCTGCAGTTTGAGGTTGCAGTGAGCTGTGATTGTCCCACTGCACTCAAGCCTGAGTAAGAGAGTGAGACCCTGACTCAAAATAACAATAATAATGATAATGATAATAATAATAAAGTAGTAAAAACTCTGAAACTTAAAGCACATTTAAATAAATTGACTTTCATTGTTTTATGTGTAAACCAATATATACGCAAATTGTGATGTTACTACCTATAGTTCTGGAAGACTAAGGCGGAAAGATTACCTGAGCCCAGCAGATCGAGGCTGCTGTGGCCATGAGTGTGCCACTGCACTCTAGCCTGGGCAACAGAGTGGGACTCCAAACCCGCACCCCCAGTTTTTTTTTTTTGTTTTTTTTTTATTTTTTATTTTTTCTGAGTTGGAGTTTCACTCGGTCGCCCAGACTGGAGTGCAGTGGCCGCTTCCGGCCACCGCAGCCTCGACCTGCTGGGCTCCGGCGATCCTTCCGCCTCAGCTTTCCAAGTAGCCGGAATTACAGGCATACGCTACCATGCCCAGCTGATTTTTTGATTTATTGTAGAGATGAGGTCTCGCTGCCCAGGCGGGTCTCGAACCCACGGGCTCAGGCAATCCACTCACCTCAGCCTCCCAAAGGCGCGGGATTACAGGCTGAGCCACCGAGCCCGGCTCCCCCAGTTTTTTAAAAAGTTTATCTGTATCTAAAGCTGTGAAAATTATATGCAAATATCAGCAGTAATTATTGACTGACAGTGGCTCATGCCTGTAATTCTAACACTTTGGGAACCCAAAGTGGGAAGAATGCTTGAGGCCAAGAGTTTGAGACCAGCTTGGGTGACATAGTGAGACCTTGTCTCTACAAAAAAATTTTTTTTTTGAGTTGGAGTCTCACTCTTTGTCCCTCAGGTTATAGTGCAGTGGCATACTCATGGCTACCGCAGCCTCAACCTGCTGGGCTCAGGCAATCCTTCCACCTCAATCTTCCAAGTAGCTGGAACTACAGGCACATGCCACCATGCCCGGCTAGTTTTTGTGATTTATTTTAGAGACGAGGTCTCACCAAGTTGCCCAGCTGGAACTACAGGCGTACGCCACATTCCTAGCTAATTTTTTGATTTATTGCAGAGATGAGGTCTCATCAAGTTGCTCAAGCTGGTCTCGAACTCCTGGGCTCAGGCAGTCCTTTTGCGTCTGCCTCTCAAAGTGCTGGGATTACAGGCGTGAGCCACCATGCCTGCCACTTTTTAAAATTTTTATTATTTATTTATTTGAGTTGGGGTTTTACTCTATTGCCTAGGCTGGAGTGCAGTGGCATGATCATGGCTCACCACAGCCTCAGCTTCCTGGGCTCAGGCAACCCTCCTGCCTCAGTTTCCCAAGTAGATGGGACTACAAACATGTGCCACCACGCTCAGCTAAATTTTTGTAGAGATGAGGTCTTACCATGCTCAGCTAAATTTTTGTAGAGATGAGGTCTTGCTATGTTGCCCAGGCTCATCTTGAACTCCTGGGCTAAAGCAATCCGCCCGCCTTGGCCTCCCAAAGTGCTAGGATTATAAGTGTGAGCCACTGGGCCCAGCCTATAGACACAGACTCTTTTTAAATTATATGTTCCTTATATGAAGTAACTTGAAACTCTACAATAAGTAGTACATTATTAATGACACATTGCCAAAATTGTGAACAGTAACATCACAATTTGCGTATATATTGGTTTACACATAAAACAATGAAAGTCAATTTATTTAAATGTGCTTTAAGTTGCAGAGTTTTTACTACTTTATTTTTTAAACTTTAATTGATTGATTGATTGAGTCAGGGTCTCACTCTGTTGCCCAGGCTGGAGTGCAGTGGCACCCTCGTGGCCACCGTGGCATCAACCTGCTGGATTCAGGTGATTCTTTGGCCTCAGCCTTCAAAATAGCTGGAACCACAGGCATGCCATGCCTGGCTAATTTTTTTGATTTATCATAGAGACGAGGTCTTGCCAAATTGTCTCGAACCCCCAAGCTCCAGCAATCCTCTCACCTCTGCCTCTCAAAGTGGTGGGATTACAGGAGTAAGCCACCTTGCCTGCCTTAATATGTCATTATTTTTTTATGCTGGGGATACAGTAGTGAACAAGAGAAACAAATCTCTATTTTCTAGTACGGGGGAAGAAAGACAATAAACTCAGGAAAGGAGCCCCATATTTCAGAGGAGCCCAAAGATATGAAAGTGGCTTGCCAAAAGTCTGACACTTTTGGTATAAAAAGTCCACACACTTGACTTTTTGCTCAGTTCTTTTTCTACTGTACCTTACTGACCTTCTTGACTTGCAAGAATGGCATATAAATTCTTGAACATTCTAAATCAGAAGTCTCAATAAATTTTGCTTTGAGTCTTATGAAGGAGTTCTATAGTATAAGACCTTTTTGTGTAGAGTAAGGAGCATGTTTTCTACCCAGTTCTGTCTGTAGAACATTTGACAAATCCTTTAAGCTCTCTGGACATTGTTTTCATCATCTGAAAAATGAAGAGATTAGCATTTATAATTGTGAAAGATGGTGCTTGCTTAAAACTTCCATAGTTATATAATTTGATTTGCAGTTGTATGTGTGTGTGTGTTTTCTCTACAGCCATACACACTGCTGCCATGGATATGCTGGGAGGATCTGGTGTTGAAAGCCAGTGTAGAAAAGTTGATATCATTGCAGATGCTGCATATTCCATTTTCAAAAAGCCAAAAAGTTTTACTGGCAACTTTATTATTGATGAAAATATTTTAAAAGAAGAAGGAATAAAAAATTTTGACATCTATGCTGTTAAACCAGGTAATGCTTATAGTTTTTTAAAGTAGTGATGTGCTTTTATACATTTTCTACAGTGAACACATCTGTTTTGTGTGCTTGTTTGTGTGACTGTAAAATGAATATTTTTTAAAAAGCTACCCTCCCAATGAAGGAAAATCCCATACCAACACAACTTTTAAAAGTGAGAGCTGGGCGTGGTGGCTCACACCTATAATTCTAGCACTTTGGGAGGCTGAGATGGGAGAATTGCTTGAGCCCAGGAGTTTGAGACCAGCTGAGCAATATAGCAAGACCTTGTCTCTACCAAAAAATAAAAATAAAAAAGTTGGCAGGGCATGGTGGCATGCGCCTGTAGTCCCATCTATTTGGGTATGGACACACAGAAGGAGGTGGAGGTTGCGGTGAGCCATGATGGTGCCACTACACTCTAGCGTGAGCAACATAGTGAGACCCCCAACTCAAAAAAAAGAGAGAAATGAAAAACATTTATAAAAAGAGAGAGAGAGAGAGAGAGAGCTGGGTTTGGTGGCTCACACCTGTAATTCCAGCACTTTGAGAGGCTGAGACTGGAGGATTGCTTGAGCCCTGGAGTTCAAGACTAGGCTGGGCAACATAGTGAGACTTCGTCTCTGTTAAAAAAGAGAGAGAAAGAGAGAAATGAAAAACATTACTGAGTTGAGGGCTTTTGAAGTGACATATAAATACAGAAGATCATATCAGCTACTAGTCATTTCTAAATTTTGAAATAAGAAATGGAAATTGCTTTTTAAAGTTAGTCCTAAAATTACCAAGTAAAGATTTTATTCAAAGATATGGTAACAGATGATATAGTAGTGTGGTCTTTACAAAAAACATTTTAAGATTGTGAACTCTTCAAAAGTTTATTTCCTAAGTACTCTATAGTCTCTTAGAGAAGCTTAATGATGGATGGTGCAGATAAGTGGGCAGGGTCTTTCTTATGTACAGTAGCATGATTTTAGAAGTTTCCAGAAGAGCTCCTTGTTCAAAAACAACTCTTCCTGTCAGTAATTGCAGATGATGATAATGGATTTTTACTTTATATATAAAATGTAATGTATTCTAAATAATAGATAATATAGCCATAAATGGGATTATATTTGTTTGTGCAAAAGCATTTATTTATTTATGAGTTGGAGGGCAGTGTCGCCCAGGCTGGAGGGCAGTGGCATGCTCATGGCCACTGCAACCTTGAATTTCTGGGTTCAGGTGATCCTTCCACCTCACCCTTCCAAGTAGCTGGAACTACAGGTGCACACTACCGCACTTTGGTTTGCTACAGTATATTTTAAATGTTATTCATTAAACTGAGACTCTAGATGTCAGAGACCACATTTTTATATTTCTGTCATCCCTGCCATTTCTTCTGTTCAAACTCAATTAAATAGCTGATTATAGTTTTACAAAGCACTTTTCTATACATATATATTTAACTTTCATAGCAATCCCATGAGGAAAGTAATATTGTTTAGTGATTAAAACATGGAATTTGGGAGAAGACAACCCAGGTTCATTTTTTTTCTTTTTATTTCAATAGCTTTAGGGTTCCCAGGCTCCTAATGGAGCTGCTGCTGACTAGTTCTGTGTCTTTGAACTTGTCACCCACTTTGTCAGAGTCCTGTATTGGTAAAATTAAGAGAACGATACCTTTCACACAGAATTTCTGTAATAACTAAATGTAATAGTGTATATAATGTGTTTGGCACAGTACCTGTCATATAGCACACTCACAATATTTAGTAGTTAATATTTACAATTGGAAAAACAGGCCTAGAGAGATTAAGCCTTTGCCTAAGAACAGATGGCTAATAAGTGGCAGAACCTGAACAAGATTCACGTCTTCTGAGTCCTGTTACAGTGTAAGTATCATATTAGGTTTTTTTTTTTTTTTTGAGTTGGAATCTTACTCTGTCGCCCAGGCTGGAGTGCAGTGGTATGCTCACGGCCACCCCAGCATCGAGCTGCTGGGCTCCAGAGATCTTCCGCTTTAGCCTTCCAAGTAGCCGAAACTACAGGCGCACTACCACACCTGGCTAATTTTTTATTTATTGTAAAGATGAGGGCTCGCCAAGTTGCCTGGGCTAGTCTTGAACCCATGGGCTCAGGCAATCCTCTTGCCTCAGCCTCCCAAAGTGCTGGGATTACAGGCTGAGCCACCGAGCTGACCCACATTAGGTTTTAAAGACTCAGTGTCATTGTGCATAAAACCTTAAATTTGATTTAAATTAAAAATCCTTTCAAGTATTGAGAGCTTAACTTGACTAGGTACAATGATATTAGGATATAGCAAAGATCATTTCTGCTCTCCAGAAGTTTGTTTAATCTTGAGCGAGAGAGAGAAGGAAGGAGGGAGGGAAGAAGTGGGGGGGGAGATTGTTAACATCTAACTTTACTACAGCATTGAAGGCTTTGTGGCCTTCAAATCTCTTAACATGTTCATGTTTGGGAGGTATCAGTGTAATGTTAAAACGGTTAATCTGTTTCCTAAGCACAACTGTTAGCTGAACTTGAGACCTAGTGGAATAGGATAGCTTAGTTTTCACGATGATGGAGTGAGAGGAAGAGAAAGAGAGAAAAGACCCAAATGTGTTAATGATGAGAAGCAAGACCTTCTTAATGAGAGACCCCCCCATTGCTCTCGGGCCCAGGCAAGAAATGAGTCCTGAGCGCTTTAGAGGGATGCAGGATAGAAGGGTTGTAAGGATGAGAAGGGCAAAGTCTTCTGGGAGAGTGGGTAAAAGTGATTTAATAAGTCTTGAAGATAACATTTGTCATAGGAAAGGATAACCGAGTTGTGGGAAAACCAACTTAATAAAGATCATGTAGTTTGACAGCTTTCATAGGGGCCATTTCCATTGCACCAAAATGATCTTAAAATAAGAATAAATATAATGTTCATTAAACAGGTGTTAAAATCTTAATCTATTATAGTTGTTGCATTAACCTGATTATTTGGGGTCAATTTTTCAGGTCATCCTTTGATACCAGATTTCTTCTTAGATGAACAGCCAGATATAATTACCAAGAAAGTAGAAGCACTTGGTAAGATCTAGACCATTTTATGTTGGAAATATAGATACTAACATATATTTCTTCCAAAATAAGGAATTGATTCTATAATTCTGCCTTCTGCTTTTAAGCCATTTTGTAATTTAAACTAAACAAGGAATGCGAGTTGTCAGTTAATTGTAGCAAAGAAGATTGTTTAATTCATCTACCAGTAAGAAGTTCTTAATATATTCTTTGTGTTTGGTTAAAAAAAAAGGTTATTCAAAAATCTCTTTCAGGTCTATTTCTTTTCCTTGGCACTGTCTTTAGGTATTTTTTTGTTTGACATGTTAGTTTATTTTGTCAGCTCTAATGCCATTTTCACAGTTTGTGCTATGCGATTGCTTTGTGGAAGAAATTAACTGCAAAGGAGGTTTTGGTTTTACTTTGTTTTGTTTCTGTAATTCAGAAATAATGCCTCCCTTGAATTGGTGCAAAGTTTACATTTTAGACTTTGGATTCTGACATTGAGCCAATGGTTTAGTGAAAGAAGAAACAAGGTTTAATGATTACCGGTGGGAAGAATTTATCTCATAGTTTGCCAGTAAGGTTGCCTGTGCTGCTTCTGGGCCCTTTATTTTTATATTATAGGTGCTGTGAATCTCCTAAGTGATCATAGACTTTTTAAAGAAGGATGATAGAAAATTTAGGAACAAATTTCCTCAATACCTTTAGCAAATCTGCAGAACCTTGCTACAATGCATTTTATGCCAAATTTTATTTCCAGCTTCATCTTATATTTCCTGTCTCTTTCTTTTTCCAAATTTTTAAAGTGATTTTTAAAAATTATTACATAATAAAAAGGACAACTTTTTTTGTATTACATAAAAATTTTAAAATATAGAAAGGAAAAGTTACTCATAATCCTGCTACCCAGAGATAGCTCTTTTAAAAATTAGATATTTGATTCAGTTGCCACATGAATGTATCAGAGTTTTAAAACCAGAAAAACCAAGGCCATTGGTCTTTTTCTCAAAAGGTCTCCTACAGAATAGCAGAAAATACCTAAAGAACTTATCAAAGTCTACAAGAATTTGGTCTCCAAGTTAGGCAAGTCCAAAATCCTGATTTTTACCCAACACCCCAAGATTGGATCTGTCTTTTGGAGGAAGACATGCATAAACTGAGCTCATTTAAATTCCAAATTTTAAATAATAAGGACCACTTATTAATCACATATATTTATGTTTTTCTTCAACAAATATTTATTGGGCACTAACCATGTGCCAAACACTGTGCTAAGTACTTTACATGCATTGTCTTGTTTAATACTCAGCGTCCCTTAAGATATGTATTATTATCTTCATTTTACAGCTGTGATCATGCAGCTGGTGGATAGCTAAGCCAGAGATTAAACTCTCATTTCTTTGATTCCAAAACCCATGTCTTTAACCAGTAAACTTCAATGGCTTTCCTAACACCCAAATACTGATTCCTTTACATTAGCATATTCTTTCCCCCAGTAATCCAGTTTATTAACTTATAATGAAGAATTGCCATCTCATGGCCTAAACATGTAGTTGCTCTGATCAGTACCCTTTCTCCCTTTGGTGATAATAACACAGGGAATTGAGTCACAGTTAGAAGGTTGTTTCATGACCATGGAATCAGAACAAGAGGGATTAGATAAGTAGAATGTAATATAAATATTTACTGATGTCAGGCTTTCATAGGGATAATCTTGCCTGTAGCCATCTCCAATGAGGAATGCTCTCACCCTTGAGGTCAGAATACTCACATTCCTTTGACTAACTTCCCCTACATAATGCTGGAAAATCATTTATTTCTGGAACTCCCTTTTTCCTATTATTTTTGATTCATTCAACAGCAATTCTTGGGGACGGAGGGAGGCACATGGCAACATACTGGATACCAGGTCCACTCTTGGGGAGAGAAGGCCAACTAGAAGCCCAAACTTCACCTGCATGCAACCTACTTATGTAGTAAATTCCCACCTGTACCCCACAGCTCTAAAATAAAAAAATAGCAATTCTACTTGGTATTTTCTGTAGATACATTCATGTAGAATGTAGTCCAATATATCTGGCCTGGGATCTAATTTACCTCTTTCAGGTTTTTTCTCATGTCCACAGCTAGATCCACTGAATGTTCACCACATAATTTACCTCTTAGAGGTCAGTGTACATCCCTCATTTCCAAAAAAGGAGAGGATCACCCACAACTTATAATAATGCCTGTTAAGACTTGGTTGTACCTTTTCTAGTATTTATCCTGTACATGTTAGTTTATAGAATATATTTGGTAATTATTATAAATTATGTACATAGTTTTAATGTGTTTTTTTCTTATTATAAAAGCAGTACTATCATTTCTTCATTGATTCCCCTACCCCCACTTCCCACTGGAACACAGGGAGCCCACTCAGTCTTTTAACTTCCAGTTTATTTTTATTTTTCTTTAGTTGTAGTTTTAATTGTGTTTGTTCCAGTTGTTCTAGATTCTCTTCAGAAACACTTATTCTTAGGTTGGCTACCCTTTCCCTGTAGTTAGCACCATCTCTCATTATTTCCATCTTTTTGTTCTCTTCTTCAGTATTCTGGGACACCTTTTCAAATTTGTCCTGTAGAGGACAATTTGATAATATTTTCTATGGTTTCATTTCTGTTCCATATTGCCCCTAATGGTTAGTTTAATTTTGCGATTGTGGTTTTGTTTCTCATGTTACTTACTTCCTTTTTTCATTTTATCCTATTGTCTTTTCATCTCAGTCAGTATATATGACATTCTGCCCCTGTTTCATACAGTATTTTAAATTAAGACGTCATTTTTTAGAGCAGTTTTAGGTTCATTATGATATTGACATATCATAATCATAGAGTTTTCATGTGGGTTTCATAGTAAATTATTTTTAGAGATAGACATTCGCTCTTCAGAGTAACCTCCATTACCCTTGTGGTACATTATTTTTTCATAGGCATCAGGTTATTTCTTTCCATTAATTCATCTCATATTAGGAGATATCTCTGCAGCTAGTGTAGTCAAATGACAGGAACATGTAGGTTGCTTTTGGCTCTACTTCCTGCCCATCTGGTGGCATTCTTTTTGCTAAGCTGTAGTTTCTGATGTAGCACCCGTTAAGCACATAGCTTGTGCCAGTGTGCAAGGCTGACATGGGACCTTCCTTTACCTCTGCTGCTTAATACTACTTTCTCCAGCATGCCCTGCTGCCAGGGTTCTTCAGCTCCACATCCTTGTCAGCCATGCACCACCACAGGACTCTCCCTGCTATCTGCTCCTTTGTTATTTGAGAGCCACAAGCTTTGAAATAGAATTTGAAAGATAACGGTGAGGAATCATACTGAGTGTTTCTTGAAAAAACAGCATTTGTAAAACCAAGGGACAGCTCCTAGCCTTCTAGTTTGTACAAGTCCAGAGTCTGATCTAGCAGTTTGAACATGTGAGGGCCTCTCTTTGTTTAGGTGGGCAGAGATCTTTCATGAGGCAAAGCAGTGCTGACTTTCTTAGGCTGACTTTAGTCACTGCTAAACATCTCTTCCTAGATTCTTTTTTTTGGGGGGGTCAGAGTCTCACTCTGTTGCCCAGGCTGGAGTACAGTGGCACGCTCATGGCCACCACAGCCTTGACCTACTGGATTCAGGCGATCCTTCCACCTCAGTCTTCCAAGTGGCTGGAACTACAGGCATGCCACCACGCCCAGCTAATTTTTTGGTTTGTTGTAGAGATGAGGTCTTGCCATGTTGTCCAGGCTCGTCTCGAACCCATGGGCTCTGACAATCCTCTCGCCTTCACCTCCCAAAGTGCTGGGATTTTAGGTGTGAGCCACTGCATCTGACCTTTTTTTTTTTTTTTTTTTAAGTTTTAAAACAGAGTTCATTAGAGAAGGATGGAGAAAAGAAAGGGTGACATGCCAGAGCTAGCATGGATGAAAGAAACTGCCTCTTCTTAGATTCTGACTAGGTAGATTGTGTGTCAGTCTAGATGCTGTTTAGCATTTGTCTTTTTTTTTCTTTTTTTCTTTTTTTTGAGTTGGAATCTCACTCAGTCGCCCAGACTGGAGTGCAGTGGCTGCTCCCGGCCACCACAGCCTTGACCTGCTGGGCTCTGGCGATCCTTCCGCCTCAGCCTTCCAAGTAGCTGGAACTACAGGCGCGCGCGACCACGCCCGGCCAATTTTTGATTTATTGTAGAGATGAGGTCTCGCCAAGTTGCCCAGATGGGTCACGAATGTCTTTTTTTTCTTTGTACATTTTAATATTTATTAAGTGTGACGTTGGGAGAGACTAGTTCACAGGCTGCTAGCTCTCTGTTTTTCTTTAAGTTACTGGAGTGCTCTAAATGTCTCTTTTCCTTCAAGTTTATGTATTTGTAATCTGCTGGCTGTACCTTTCAAATATATTTATTACAGGTTTTTTGTCTCCTGAAGTTTTGTTCTGTTGTGCTAAGTCATCATGCTTATGTCTAAATATTCCAGATGATGGATTAACCAATGTATCTTTTGGCACACATCTTTCAGGGCTTAACTAAAATTTTTGCTGCAATCTCCTTGGCACCTCAAGCACAGATGATATATCTTGACTAATATACAAATCAACCAAAGTCATCATCTACTAGTAAGGGAGGAGTTTCAGCAGTTATTTGTATGACAAACTCAATTCTCTCTGATGTAACTGCTAAAACTAAATATATTACCTGCCTATGGAAACATGAAGGAAGCCTGTGTCTTTGCTATTCTTACTTTAGCAGCCTCTGCTTGGTTTAATTCTGGTGAGTTACAATCTCGGTCTCAGCCTTTATAAAAATTAGATAGTTAGATATAGAAGAAAAAGTAGAGGTAGTATTACCCAGTGGATAAAATTGTGGGATCTGGAGTCAGACTGCTTGGATTCAATCTTGAATTGTGTTTATTTTATTAAACAAATTGAAATGCTTTCTGGAACAAGGCAAGTTAGAAATATAAAGGAGGAACAGACTTTTGTATATTTTGTATCTGGTCACTGTCATGAACATTATGTTGTTTTTAAATACTTCTCTTATTTTCTAAGAGAGGCAATACTCATTGAAAGTACAGACTTTGGAGTAAGTAAGACAGATCCAGATCTGTTCAAATCCTGCATCTGCTGCTTCTGTCTATGGCCTTGGACAAATTGCTTCAGCTCTCTGAAACAGTTTTCTCACCTCTTACTTTCCTCGTGTTGGTTTTTTTTTCTTCACACCCCCTCTTCCTTGTGTTAGTATTGCAAGGAGTAAGTATGATAGTACATCATACTGCACATTTGATACAGCAAGCACCTATAAATATTGGTTGCTGTAATTATCACTAATTATCTTGAATTTTCTAAGTGGTCATGCAGAATGCCTTCATATGATAATAATGTCTTTCTGGGATTATTTCTGGCAAGTGTCTTAGTACACCGACTTGAATTTTCAGGAGGGTCATTGAAAATATTTATTTTATTTTAGCTATCCTTATTTTAAATGAGAAACTCTTTAGATTTTACTGTAAGTAAGGTTTTGTTTTGTTTTGTTTTGATTTTTGAGATAGAGTCTCACTGTTACCCAGGCTGGAGTTCAGTGGCACACTCACGGCCACCACAGCCTCAAGCTGCTGGGCTCAGGTGATCCTTCCACTTCAGCCTTCCAAGTGGCTAGAACTACAGGTGTACACCACCGTGCCCAGCTATATTTTTTATTTTATTGTAGAGACGAGGTCTCGCGAAGTTGCTGAGGCTGGTGTTGAACCCCTGGACTCAGGTAAGCCTCTCACCTCCACCTCCCAAAGTGCTGGGAGTGAGCCACTATACCCAGCTAAGTAAGGTGTTAATGGTTGTATAAGATGGATTTATTTTAAAATCAGAGAAGTTAGATTGGTGCCTATATTTTTTAGTGTAATAAATGTTTTGTATTTTGAATGTAAGTGAATTGGGTAACATTCTTTTTCTATGCTCTTTCTTTTTTTTTTTGAGTTGGAGTCTCACTCTGTCGCCCAGACTAGAGTGCAGTGGCACGTTCCCAGCCACTGCAGCCTCGACCTGCTAGACTCCGGCGATCCTTCTGCCTCAGCCTTCCAAGTAGCCAGAACTGCAGGCTTGCGCTACCATGCCTGGCTAATTTTTGAATTATTGTAGAGACAAGGTCTCGGTAAGTTGCCTGGGTGGGTCTCGAACCCGTGGGCTCAGGCAATCCACTTGCCTTGGCCTCCCAAAGTGCTGGTATTACAGGCTGAGCCACTGAGCCTGGCACTCTGTGCTCTTTTCTTTGAAGGTTTGAAATATCTCACCTGCGAAACCACTTGAGTATTTTCTGAAGTTATTTCTTTTAAAACTTTTATCTTCTTTTTCAATTATAGGTTTTTTAAAAAATAAAAAACTGCTGAGTGCAGTGGCTCATGCCTGTAATCCCAGCACTTTGGGAGACTGAGGCAGGAAAATCACTTGAGCCCAAGAGTTCAAGACCACCCTGGGCAACACAGTAAGACCTTGTCTCTACAAAAATATCAAAAAAATTATCTGGGCATGGTGGTAGACACCTGTTGTCCCAGCTCCTTGGGAGGCTGAGGTGGAAGGATTGCCTGAGCCAGGAAGTCAAAGCTGTGGTGAGCCATGATCGTGCCACTGCACTCCAACCTGGGTTACAGAGTGAGACCCTAACTCAAAAAAGCAAAACAAAGTCATCCATTTGAAGTTTTAAAATTTATTTTGAATTATATTCACTTATAATTTTTAAATTATCATATTCATTTTGTCCCTTTTCTCTGTTTAAATTTTTTTCTCCTTTTTCTGATTAAATTATAGAAAGTTGTGAGTTTTATTGTATATAATTTTTTCAAAAGCACCAGACTTTAAACTTTATTTTTAATTCTACTGCTTTTCTCATTTCTGATTCATTATTATTATTATTTTTTGAGTAGGAGTCTCACTCTGTCACCCAGGCAAGAGGGCTATGGCACACTCCCGGCCACCACAGTCTTGACCTGCTGGGCTCAGGTGATCCTTCCGCCTCAGCCTTCCAAGTAGCTGGAACTACAGGCACACGCCACCACGCCGGCTAATATTTGATTTATTGTAGAGCTGGGTCTCACCAAGTTGCCCAGGCTGGTCTCGAACCTGTGGGCTCAGGCAGTCCTCTCACCTCGACCTCCCAAAGTGCTGAGATTATAAGCGTGAGCCACTGCACCCGGCCCGCATTTTTTAAATAACAACTTTAATTGAGATAAAATTTACATATACCCCCCAAAATCTATCATTTAAAAATACACAGCCTAATGATTTTTAGTATAGTCACAGAATTGTGCAACCATCTGACTCATTAATTTTTTTTGCTTTTTGTTTTCTGCTTTCTTTGAGGTTGTATGCTTTTGTATCTATTCTCACTTGTTGGGCTAATAGTTTATTGTTACTCCTTTTATTTATTTATTTTTTGAGTTGGAGTCTTACTCCATCACCCAGGCTGGAGTGCGCGGCACACACACAGCCACCCCAGCATTGACCTGCTGGGCTCAGATGATCCTTCGGCCTCAGCCTTCCAAATAGTCAGAACTATAGGCTCATGCTACCACGCCTGGCTAATTTTTTATTTATTGTAGAGTTGAGGTCTCGCCAAGTATCCTGGACTGGTCCCTAACCTGCGGGCTCAGGCAATCCACTTACCTCAGCCTCCCAAAGTGCTGGGATTCCAGGCTGAGCCACTAAGCCCAGCCCTCAGTCTCCTTTCAATGGGCATCTGGGTTGGTTCCATGTTTTTGTTATTGTGAATAGTGCTGTGATAAACATGTGTACAGGTGTCTTTTTTGCAGAGCAATTTATGTTCCTCTGGGTATATTCCTAGAAAGGAGATTGCTGGATCATATGAAAGCTCAATTTTTAGTTCTTTGAGGACTCACCACACTGCTTTCCATAGAGGGTGAGCTAGTCTATGTTCCCACCAACAGTGTAAAAGTGTCCCCTTTTCTCCACAGCTGCACCAGCACCTGTTGTTTTTACCTGTGTTAGGTGGTAGCTCATTGTGGTTTTTGTTTGTTTGTTTGTTTTGAGTTGGAGTCTCACTCGTCGCCCAGACTGGAGTGCAGTGGCCGCTCTCGGCCACCGC